CCACTTTCTTGGAAGGACTTCCGCTGACGTTCGTACAACTACAACTCTGCGCTGCCTAGTGAGACCCGCTTCACCGATACTCGTGATGACGAAAAGGAGCGTGGTATTACCATCAAGTCTACTGCCATCTCGATGTACTTCCCCATGGCCAAGGAGGATCTCGTTGCAGTCCAGCAAAAGTCCAACGGTGAGTGGACGAAACACTTTCTGCATCGATTGCAGATGTGCGTAGGCGCGGCGCGCGCTCACACGACCTCACACTGTTCACCAGGCAACGAATTCTTGATCAACCTGATCGACTCTCCCGGTCACGTCGACTTCTCCTCTGAGGTTACTGCTGCTCTTCGTGTCACTGACGGAGCTCTCGTCGTTGTCGACTGCATTGAAGGTGTCTGCGTTCAGACCGAGACAGTGCTGCGTCAGGCGCTGACTGAGCGAATCAAGCCGGTGGTCTGCTTGAACAAGGTCGACCGTGCTCTGCTCGAGCTGCAGGTCACCAAGGAGGATCTTTACCAGTCCTTCCAGCGTACCATTGAATCCGTCAACGTCGTCATTGCCACCTACAACGACCCCGTCCTCGGTGACTCTCAAGTGTTCCCTGAGAAGGGCACAGTGTCCTTCGCATCTGGTCTTCACGGTTGGGCCTTCACTCTTGTTCAGTTCGCCAACCGATACTCCAAGAAGTTCGGCGTGGACAAGGAGAAGATGATGGTCAAGCTGTGGGGTGACAACTACTTCAACCCCAAGACCAAGAAGTGGACCACCAAGGGTGAAGATGCAGATGGCAAGCCCCTCGAGCGTGCCTTCAACATGTTCGTTCTCGACCCCATCTTCCGTATCTTCGACTCCGTCATGAACTTCAAGAAGGACGAGACCACCAAGATCCTCGAGAAGCTCGAGGTCAACCTGACCTCTGACGAGAAGGACCTTGACGGCAAGCAGCTGCTCAAGGTGGTCATGAGAAAGTTCTTGCCTGCCGGCGATGCTCTTTTGGAAATGATCGTCGTCCACCTTCC